ACTTCCACATCCATTTCCAAACCGAGCCAGTGCGCACGCTCCGCTAAACGCTCGTCAAACGCCGAGCTAACGCGCGTTAGCTCGGCGTTTTACGAGCGTTTAACGCGCGTTGAAAAACGCCTAGTGTGTACAGGGCCTAATATTCGAATATACAATAGCAATCTTATTATTTTTTTTTTCACGTGTAGTATAGAAATTTGTAATAAGATACATAATGCGGGTATAATAAAATATTGTGCGATTACTTTTATATAATTAAAATTAATGTGTATTTTTTAGAAAATACAAGGGAAGCGGCGCATCCACCGCTTCCAATGACAGCACGCCACTGGATTAGAAATAAATTCTATGCCATAATGCTTGAAAATGCGAATCAAATAAATGTTCGAATTTAAATTTCTGCATATCTTTGTCATAATATTTTCAAAATTTTTTGAATAAATTATCAATATTCAATTAAATTAATAATAGGTCTGCCAGACTTGAAAATCAAGCATTGTACCTGTAGTTAATTTTGACAATTGGTGCTTGGTTAGCATGACGAAGTACAATTGAATCTACTTGGTAAATCTTTGCGTGCAAAAATTGTATATTATAATTTCCCGGCAAAACTAATAAATACATTTGCTATCTCGAATATATATTAAATTCGGTTTTGAATATTATTTGTTGTAAATGTCGTTAATACAGGATGGTTATAATTAAAGTTGCCCTACTCAGTCTCGTATAGATTCCGTTCTCTTTGATGTATTTTGAGTCCATATGGTTGTGGGATATCTGAAAAATCGTGTCTATGGAGGAGGCACACGAACTCTGCCTGAATTGAAGCATAACACGCCATATTGTTGCAATTTCTCAAGAAACCTATCGGGCTACCGTTGAACACGCTGTAAATATCTTTTTCGTGTTTTTTGTTCATGCGCCATTTTTTCACCTAGTGGTAAAAATTTGAAATAATTAGTTTTTTGCATTTTCCTTTTCCCCATGGTCCATATAACGTATATACTGAGTTTCATCAAAATACATCAAAGGCTATATATAGGTCTGAGTAGGGCAACTTTAATTATAACTACCCTGTATTTATATTTCTATTAACTGTCACTTTAACGATTTCAGACTTCAAATTGATTAGACTGGTTTTTGCTTACAATTTGTGTTCAATTTTAAATATTTTTGGGAGTTTTCGTTAAGGGTAAGAAAAGGTAGTCAGAAAATTTATAGTTAAGCATGTATATACATTATTAATATAGGAAGTCTTCAAGATTCCTGAGAACTCTGAAGCAGGAAGAAAAGGGAACGATGAGAATTATATACATTTAATTATGGAAATGTATAGAAATGTTAAGCCATGTGTTAAGATAGGATAGATTTAAAGTGTTACAAAAAAAAAATAGATTTAGGATGGCTTTGGAGTTTATCAAGGTTAAGCCAATATTTTTTTTTTAATTATTATTAATTATTGTAGTTTGCAGCAAGAAAGGAGCTATGATGTATGTTATTCACAATTTATATGATGATAGAGAGAGATTAAAGTTGAGGCAAAAAAAGTCAGGAACAAGTGAGAGGGTGGATTAAAAGTCAGTAGAATTAGTTCTTGAATTTCAAATATAGGCTGTTAGAGGAAAAAGTGGAAATTCTAACTATTTACACAACATATTCAACATATATACACACACATAACAACTTAGAGGTAATTAGAGGCTGATGAGTTAGAGGTTGACAAATAAAATAGGTAAATGTAGAATGACAAAGAGTTCAGACAGTATATGATTAGATATTGACAGTGATAGTGATTAGTGATGACATGGAATCTAAAAGAAAGACATGTTAGTGATTTTTTAGGTCTACATAAACAAACATGTGTAGTAGGCCATCAATAAATCTTCATCCATATTCTACTTTTGATAGTGCAGAATATTACATAAATGACCAAAATATGTAGAGCAAATGTGAATGTCATAAGAAATGTAATTTCTCATGTCAAAAATATAAAAACATTTCATCCTACATATTATTTCTCACTATACTGAATCAAGTAAAATTGTATAGAACACTTTATGTAGTGTTAAAGTTGTTAAATTATATAAAAAATAGTTTGTCTTTATCTGCATTAAATTTCTATGGCTATTTAAATGTATCAGAGAATAAGCTATGGTTTTCCTAATTATTTTGTCATACACATGTAATAAAATATAACAGTAAAATGCAACTTTATTTACTTATTTTTTCATTACCTATGTATTGAACAGATATGTTATACTCAGAATATTTCATTCATAATATGTAGCAAGATAACAGTTTTAAACAGATCTCTATTTTTAAAACCTGGATAAATTAAATCAAAAATATAATTATTTTCAATTTATCCACATCCTCATCTGTAATTTCAAATTATCATCTTATTAAATTTTTTATAAACCAAATATACTTTTTCTTTCTGTATACTTGATATAAAATTTTAAAATGTAATTACGAATAAGACTTTTTTTGACAGACAGTAGAAAAAAGTTACAAAAATGCTTGAAAATAGTAAAACTATCTACTAACCAAATAGAAAAAAGTTCTCACCATAGTGAGACTCTAATGCTAGCTATCAGCAACCTGACACATTAACTTTACTTGAGATCATAGCTGAAGAACCAGTATATCTATAGACTCTGCTTAAACAAAGAACTAATGCAAAATGGAGTTAGGCTCCAAAAGTTAACAAAAGTATATTATTCTTTTTTGTGACTAAGAGAAATTTGTTTATGAAAGCAATCAATAATTAACTAACAATCACAATTACACATTCATATTACAGTTAAATGAGGACTTTCTTTTTATGAAGTATCATCATCTGAGCTTTATTGTCAATCTTGAACAGAAATATCAACAAGTCTTCTTTTAAATTTTTATCATAAAACCTTTTATGGATGACAAAATAAAAATATGTTCTGACACCTAAGAATTTTTGTGTTTTTACTACTTACAATGTGAGTTTTTTTTAAAAAATGCTATATTCTCTTATTTATTTCTAAATTCTGTCATGACTATGAGCATCGGAGTGAAAGCTCTATCTTTCTGATTGACATTATAAACATTCCAACCTGTTAGTTCGTGTCAACTAGTGACCTTGTAAGATCAACTGTCTTGTTTCTTTCATACCTTCGCCATACATCTATTTCACACAATTTGCTTTAACAAAATATTTTCTTAAATGAATCAAATTTTTGTACATTTAATGAGGGATTCAGACTTTGTCCAGGACCTCAAAAAAGAAAAACTAAAGTTAAAAGCTATTGACTAGGGATAAATTTTCTAAACAACTAAATTTAACAGAATATATATTGGAAATATATTTTGAAAATTATCAGAATGCTTTGTAAGTGAAGTCAAGGATTGAGTTAAATGACACTCAATATCTAAACATCAAACATTATCTGAATTTTTATTGGGTTTAAACATAAGATAAATTAGATTAAAATATCACAATATCAAGAGTTATCTAAAAATGTTGTAAGAGAATGCGATGAAAAATTAAATGGATACTCATTTGACAAAAACAAACACTTTTGGAACAATGGTTTTGAATTTTAAAGATATGATTAATTGAGATCTTATATCTCAATATGAAGATTGAAATAAAGACTATTAAAAATTGAACTCTAAGATTAAATATAAATTTACTTATATCAAAGTTTATCAGAACATTCAGTTGATGATTTAGATAGATTATATGTTTTAGACTGGAAATTGTTGTTAAATATGAAGAATTATCTGAAGATTTTATCATAACACAAAGATAAAATTGATTGGTTTTGATGTTATTTTAAAGAACAAATTCTTTGATAAACTTATTGAAAAAATTAAAAAACTATTGCTTATTTGTTTTCTTTAAAGATGTGAAAATTTGTATGTTTATTCAGATTTTATAGTTGGTGCAGAAACCTCATCTAGCTACTCACATAGTAGTTACTTTAGTCTATGTTAAAAAAAAAACTCTAAATTTGTTGAGCTCTGTTATTATTAAAGCAAATTACAGTCATTTAGTAATAATATGCAAAATACTTTAATATGAGGAGGTACCTTTTTTGATCTCCAGTGTGTCAGGTAAAAGATGATGTAGATGAAAACTGTTTTATTTTAAAAAGTTAAATACACTTTTCAGCTACCTTTCTACTTCTAAATCATCATTTTGATTTAGGCATTTATCATACTGTGGCACCAGCTTTTCTATACTCTCATCAAAGAAAGTTGTTACCAGGTTACTTAGCCAATCTTTCATGCTGGCCTTCAATTCCTTGAGTTTGGAACTGCTGCCTCATGTGTGAATATGTGGAAATTACTTGATGCTAAATCTGGGTTGTACAGCAGATGATCAAACACTTCCCACTTGTACTTCTGAAGGCATTCCTGTGTCTAATGCAGTGTGAAGATGAGCATTCTGGTACAGGACAACTGCCAATAACAACATTCCTCTTCTCTTTTTTTGTATTGTTTATCATAGTTGTCAAAAAGTCTTGCAGTATATTGCTGTAGTGATGGTCACATACTGTGATGGAACTCCTCCAGAATGTCAAATGGGAAGTGTTTAATCATCCTCCATACAGCTCAGATTAGCACTGAGTGATTTCTGTATGTTCAATAACATGAAGCAGTGGTTTGTAGAGCAGCAATTCCAAACTAATGAGAAGTTGGAGGCCAGTGTGAAAGGTTGGCTCAGGCAGTAGCAATCAGAAAAGCTGGTGCCACAGTATGATAAATGCTCAAATCGAAATGGTGATTATGTAGAAAAGTACTGAAAATTGTATCTAACTTTTGTAAATAGAACAGTGAAGATAAAAACTGTTGTTTTTCCTGGCACATCAGAAGTTGAAAAAAATCCCTGTAATTGTAAATGCTTTCATATTGTGTCCTGGCCACAGTTCCACTGAGGCACTCACGAAGCAATGGGTGTTAAGACTTATCAATGGATTTAACTAGTTCTAATAAAAAAAACAGCTTTTGTGCTATTTATATTTGTGGTGTAATAAATGAACACCTGATGGTCATCTGCTACCACTTGGCTTCAATGAACAGCTTTCAACTTTTTTTCTTCTAATTGGCATCTCAATCTTCACTTTATGAAAGAGACAACAGGAATCTTTATCTTCAGTTTCTGAAAGAGAATATCAACTGTTATTTTGTTGGAGAAATAAAGGAATTAAAAAGGATTACCTTTTTTTGGATAAAAAACTTGGCTCGGATCTGATCTGGGTCAACAAAATATGGCAGAAACAAATCCAGGTGATAAATGTCATCTTTGTCAATCAACATTATTCGATCTTCTCCAATGTACAAGGTCAGGTCATTGCTGTTTTTCTGACAAAAATTATTCTGTTTTTAACATTGGGCTTATGGAAATTTTGAGATTGTTTGGCTGTCTACACCTTTTATCTAATAAGTGAAACAGCACCTCTTTAAAGGCAGATTTACACTAAAACCATCATGCCAATCAAATTCATTGTATCATACACCAAAGAATGATCATTAAAATTCCAAATGGAAGTACACATAACAAAATTAAATTATATTTAAATTACCAAACTATATAACCATAACCAATGAAACATATTGTTCAAACAATGAATACAGTTCTTGCCACATTCAGCTTATTTTAGTTTATTATATTTTTTAACAAAAGTTAATAGTAATCTGAAAACTTCTTCCATGGTTTTGATATTATTTACACCTTCAAAACTGGTCAATTTCTTGGCATTATCCACTGTGGATCAGACTGTCTTGCATGTCACTGACACAGTTGTAGTAACCATCACCGAAGATGATTTAAGCAAACTAGACAGTTCTAATGTGAATCTACCTTAAGGCTACACTGCTATACTAATTGCTTCCTACAGTGCATGCACATTGGCATCTGTAAGAATTTAAGTAAAAACTATTCTTGGAAGATAGTTTATGTTTGTGGTCTTTGTATAAAATCTAAATTATGAGGTTTACTCAGAAAAATACGCCCCAACCCCAACTTTTTTATGGGACAATGGGGAAAATAGAAAGCCAAAATCTTTCAAATCTTCCTTATTCATGTACAAAGTTGTGTGGTGGCAATAAAGCAAGTAGTAGTGCTAATCTGTCCACTGCATCAGTTACTAACCACAAGCTGCAATGACTTTCAAGAAAGACTTTTGTCCATCATTTCTTGCTTTACCAGCAAGAAATGATGGACAAAATTCACAAATGCTTAGTCAAACCTAGAAACACCACACTAAGGGCAAGTCACTGGAACAAAAAAATTGGGATCTCAGAAATCAGATCAATCAATGCAGATTTGTAGATTCATGGATGCTCCAATTAGGTCCACTCACCACAGTTTATAGGTATCCTGCAGCCTATACCAGCAGGATACCTATAAATTTGCTGTATCATGCTATAATCTCCCAGAATATTGTGCCTCTTCCTATAACTGACTGACCCCAGAGCTGCAGCAAGGGAGAAAAGTGCTGGATCTATCACTGACAAGCTTGGAAGCACTAAAACTCACATGAAGAACTACCACTAAATTCTAGAGCATTTGAAGTCCAGAAGCTTTCAATCAGAGACAATCAATCAGATTCAAGAGAAAATTATATGCAAATGTCTTAGTAGAATTTTATAAACTCCCAATTTTTCATTCAATGTGAGAATGTCTCTATCGTTGCACAATGTTCTTCATAGTGACGGTTGAGGGGTTATAGGTAATATAAAACCATGCTTCCTGAATATGCGTGTTATTTTTAGTGAGATGGTGCCCAGGTATGGTATTGGAGGGTTTATTATCTTTAGGCTTTCTTTGTTGCAGAGGAAAGATTTTGGAAATAATTTGTTTATGACCCGGTTGTAGAGATATCAATATTTGGAGTTAGAATATCTGGCATTGTACATTGTTCTTTTGATAATTTGTAATTCTTCATCAATTAATGAAGCTTGGATGGAATGAGGAGTGCTCTCCAAATAAGCAAAGTAATAGCAGAGTTAACGAAGCTTGGGGGTTGGAAAACCCTCAACCGTCACTACGAAGAACATTGTGCAACGATAGAGACATTCTCACGTTGAATGAAAAATCGGGAGTTTATAAAATTCTATTAAAAATATAATATTAGAGGAGGAAATTATCTATATTGGAGCTACCACCAGTATTTTAATTTTTAATTTAATTTCAAACAGTCTAGTCTATAAGATCCTTCTTGACAATCTCAAAATGCATCATGTTTGCCAGTACATTGTCTCAAGAATGCTGACAAATGAACAACAGGTGGAATGATCCTTCATGTATGGAGGATTGATTGATGAAAATGAAAAAGATCCTGTCTCAAACTAGGTGACAACTGGGGATGAAATATAATACTTTCTGCATGTCACACAGACAGTCTTTAAATTGAAAGTCACTATCCTCTATGCATCAAAAAAAGCATTGCAAGGACAGATTAAAAGGGAAAGTCATGTTCAAGGTTTCCTATGACAATAAGGTAGTCATACATAAACAGTTTATCCTAAGAGTCACACAGTTAATAGAGATGTACTTTATAGTACATTGTTATTCTGCAGTATTTATGCAAATTAATCAAGAAGAAAGTCTTAAATTGTGGGCTGTAAAATCTGAAACCACAACCACCCTTATACCCCAGTTGAACCGAGCATTTCGATCTAGATTGTGACCAAGGTCGGAGACTATGCCATGGTGTGATCTCTCTCGACCATTTCAATCTCAACTGAAACAAGGTACAACCACAATCGACCCAAGAGAGTTCTTGAAACTAGATCCAGTCATAAGAGAGCTACCACAATCCCACATGCCCGAGAAAATACAAGATGGATGCAGAACACGTGTTGGACTATCAACAGAGAAATAAAAATATATTTGGAGAGATGATATCATCTGTCTATTATTATATATATGGCAAGAAAAGGTATTTATTTCTAACCAAAACTTCCATTTTGTTTGTTGGTGTTTGTGACTTACTGCATAGTTATGTCAGTTTTATCATTGCATGTAATAGCCGGGTTCTTCTCAAGCGGACTGCCTGTGTGAACAGCACGACGTTCGTCTGGCAACAGTTACAATCCAGATTGTAGGTAAATCGAGATTGAAGTGAGTCGTAGATCGTGTGCGAACGTAGTATTACATTGTTCTCTACTTGTACATTAATACCTTACCAAACACAAGGTGCCTATGCTTCTTTAGATGCCTACTCTTGAGATTTGGCTCCTGAAGATTAAAGAGTCAATGAAGATGAGTTATTTCAAGTCATCAGCTTGCTGTGCTAGATGTACTTTAAAAAAAGCTTTCCAGGACTTGTTTCCAGATGTAATATGGGCATTATCAGAAATATGTTGTAGAAGTCACATTACTTTGAAAAAAATATTGTAAAATCAATTGTTACTAGGCTTATCATAAAATTATTGTTTTTTTCTCATTTGTGACACTAAACCTCATAACTATAAAATAATAAGCAATTATTTTGTTGACAGGAACATAGTTCTTAAGACCTCATTTCTGCTACATAAATTTGTTTATTGCAAATGTATAAACACAAAGGTTATAATTTATTAATGTAAAAATATTATTAAACTATGACATATTTACCACTTTTGGGAGATCTATTTCACACAACAACTTCTGTGGAAAGTCATGGATAGGTTCTTTCTTAATTATGTAAGAAGGAATTTTCTCCTTCAGTAATACTTCTGGATGGTGATTGATGTCTGTATTATCTTCTTTTTGCATACTGATGGAAATAAAAATTAAAAAAAATTCTTTTTATTTTTAAAAAATGCTCTCCAAAATGTATTTACCTTTCCTCGATTTCAGTAACCAATGTCTTTGGACGCAATTTAATATTATGCACAGGCATTGATCCATGATACTTTTTATTCTTTAAAATAACATAACATTCTGTTTTTCAACAAGATTTTAATTAGAATATAGACAATTTTATATTTTATTAAAACATAATAATTAAGTAGACTATTGTTACAAACAGAAAATCGACGATCATTTTCGATATTTTTCATTAGTAGTAAGAAATATCATATAAAGTAACAAGTGAAACAGAAAACCAAAAATTGATCTAGAACTGCCTAAATTGCATAAAATACTAAAAATATAATTATTTAATAACAATTATACTTTTTCTGCAGAAGGCAAGATTCCTTATACGGTAAAGACCCATGGATCATAATAATCAGTTCATCCCACAGGATGTTGAAATTGTTTTGTTTTAGAGATGGGCAAGCCGGAGCTCAAAGCTTGATTGAGACTGAGCTCCTTGAGCTCATTAATTTTAATATAAATTGTTTCTTTTTGCTAGCGAACACTATGATTTCAAATTAATGATTACTTTTTTGTTTTATTTTGCACTAACATTTAGTTTTTTATTAAATAGAATAAATAAAAATAAACACTAATCTTATGCTTATCCAAGCAGAATGGTAAAAAAATTTACATAAACAAATGTTTTTGGTCTATTTTGAAGACCTCCATCAGATTGTTGAAACATTTCAATATTCAAAAATGAAATGCTCCAAAGAACCTTATGTAAATTCAAATTCAACATCAAAGCATTTAAATAATCTGATGCAAGTGTTAGAAGTAGACCAAAAGCATTTGTTTGTTTTAATTTTTCACTATTCTGCTGGGAGAAACTTAAGGTTAGTGTGTTTGTTATTTTTATTTATATACCTGCCTGGCTTATAGAAGAGTGAAACAATTAAATAGAATATTTGATATTTAACAGTATTAATGAAAAAACAGATTCAAAAGAAGAAAAACTTTGTATTTTTTCATCTTTTCCACTAATTTTAAAATATTTTTTAATATAAATACATATTTAAAGTTACATCTATACTAATATTATAAAGAGGTAATGTTTGTAAGTATGTATGTAAGTTTGTTTGCAGCAGGTAATCTCCGAAACTACTCATCTGATTTCAAAAATTCTTTCATCAATATTTAGAATGGACCTTCAGGGTGGACATAGGCTGTATATTATTCCATTAAACATTCATATAAATTAAAATATATCATGTAGGTTAAGGCTTTTATGTCCAACAGATGGCGCTACGAGTACGACGCCCTAAGTTTGCTTTTCTGTGAAAATGAACTAAAGCGGATCATCTTCTATCTATTTATATAAATAAAAATGTAATGTTCGTTTGTTCCTATCGATTCCTTTCAAATTTTGACACAACGCCGCATTCGAATACGCACGTGTTTTTATATAATATACGTGTTGAAATTCCCCCCACTGAAGGGAGATGGTTAGGATTAAGGCTTACGGTAAAGAACTCTGCTTCTATTTATACTATTTTAGATGCGGTTTTTTGCGTTTTAATAGGGTACG